TTTGCAGCTTCACTGACAATGAGAAACTGAGTGGTTAAGAATTATACAGGGAAACTGTTGCAAAAAATAAAAAAAGAGGATCCTCCATGACGTTTTTGCTCAACTGATTTTTTCTGTCTTTCCAGAAGTAAAGATAACCATAGAGTAAAGCTGGCCATACATTAGTAGATTTTCATATATACATTAATGTGAACATTTTTAATACATTCAGAAACTTTACGAATGTCATTAGAAAGTACTTCAAAATGTTGCTTGTTTTTACATCTCATTTTAGAATTATTGTAAACTACATAAACTGTTCTCATCACTATGGTCAAAAACGAACATCAATTTTACCCCACTAATGACTAGAAAACTAAACCAATGTTCTTATGAAATAAAATAGAAATTTCACTAGTTTATGTAAGCTTAAGGACACCCTCCAGATCCCTCCCTTACACTCTAAGGCAACACCTTTCTCTTTCTTCCTTAGATAGTTTTTCAGTTTCTTTAGGACATTATATTTATCTCTAACCAAAGCAGCCATTCAGTCTCCCCAGAGAAGTCTCTCACAGTCTATTAATGACATTCTTTTTTTCCACGGCAGCCTGTCCCTTTTTCTCTCAAGAGCAGTCTTTCATAGTGTCTCCAGGACAGTTTCTCTTCCTCTACATAGCAGGCTTTCAAAAGCAGTCTTTCTTCCCAGTGAAGCCTTCGTCCACATGGCAGGCTCTCTAGGGTAGTCTCCATTTTTTTTCTTCCCAGTGAAGTCTTTTTCCCATTTATATAGCAGGTTCTCTGCTTCATTTCCACACATGGAAGTTTTTCTTTTTTTTGCCATGGCACACTGCATACTCATCAAGCTTATGATAGTATAAATATTAGTCTATAAACCTAGGGAGATTTTAAATTTTGCTGTGGCCTTTTATTAGGTAATTTTGCTCAGTGACAGTGCTTTAATATAAAGAATCACAGATAATTACACACAGCACAGTTAGAAAATCACATTAGCATTACTTTTAACAAATATATATTGTACACCTTTCCTAGAGTAGTGCAAAGAAAGTTTACAGTTCAGTGTTTAGAGACATTTTTCATTCAGCAGTAATCTATAATTATCAGGAGAACTATTACTAAATAAAGAAAATCTCACTATACAATTAGCAGCTACCTGAGATATAAGCTGCAGTTTTCCCAGAAGCAAGGACAGGCATTATTCAACTGCAAAAAAAAAATATAAGAAAGAAGGTGTAAATAAGAGGAAACTCACTTTGCACTGGCCTTTACAAAGTATTAACGGGGTTTACACAGTACATGTTTTGTATGTACTCTATTCTGTTATAGTTGTTTTATGCAGTATGTTATCAAGTCCTGGTTACGTAAGGGTATTACTGTTCTTCATTATATACTTTGTGACCTCTTACCCAAAAGCATAGAGAACTTAATATAGGAATATGGTCTGCAAATAAATGAAAATTCTACCTATTTAAAGATTGTACATTTTTTACCACATTCCCTCCTTCCAAGGAGGACAAAGTGTTGCAATTCTATGTCTCCCTCACCTATGCGTAAGGGCATCTCTCTATTCTACAATCTATTCCAGAATAAGTTACTATTTATTCAAACACAATCTTTTCTAAAATGGGAGACTGAGCTTGTCTCTACCTTAACTACCTCTCAGTTAGAGATGAGCGAATTATTCAAAAATTCGATTCGGCTGATTCGCCGAATTTGCGGAATAAATTCGATTCGATGCGAATTTATTCGCTGCGAATTTAACTTATTAAAAGGGTTTCTAGGCTTCAGAGAGCCTTTATATTAGTGCAGAACACTGTACCTTTAATTTAAATGCCCTTGGAGTCTGCTGGGGAAGAGAAATAATACTGTCAGTCAGTATGACATGCAGATGAGTGCCGTCGATCTTAGAATCACCGCACACTTCACTCATTTGGGCAGTCACGGGACACGACGAAGAAGAAGAAGAAGAATGAAAAGAAGAAGAAAAGAAGAAGAATGAAAAGAAGAAGAAGAAGAAGAATGAAAAGAAGAAGAAGAAGAATGAAAAGAAGAAGAAGAATGAAAAGAAGAATGAAAAGAAGAAGAAGAAGAAGAATGAAAAGAAGAAGAAGAAGAATGAAAAGAAGAAGAAAAAGAATGAAAAGAAGAAGAAAAAGAATGAAAAGAAGAAGAAGAATGAAAAGAAGAATGAAAAGAAGAAGAAGAAGAATGAAAAGAAGAATGAAAAGAAGAATGAAAAGAAGAAGAAGAAGAAGAATGAAAAGAAGAAGAAGAATGAAAAGAAGAAGAAGAATGAAAAGAAGAATGAAAAGAAGAAGAAGAAGAAGAATGAAAAGAAGAATGAAAAGAAGAAGAAGAAGAAGAAGAAGAAGAATGAAAAGAAGAAGAAGAAGAATGAAAAGAAGAAGAAGAAGAAGAATGAAAAGAAGAATGAAAAGAAGAATGAAAAGAAGAAGAATGAAAAGAAGAAGAATGAAAAGAAAGAAGAATGAAAAGAAGAAGAAGAGAAGAATGAAAAGAAAAGAAGAAGAAGAAGAATGAAAAGAAGAAGAATTCCAGTACAGCAAAAAGTGTATCTGCAGAGAGCTCCGCTATTTCTGACAGTTCTCTGACAGTTCCTTCACATTTACAGCGGTTGAAACATTGTATCTATTTGTTTCCAAATAAAAACATCTGTATCCTAAATGGAAACAAATAGATACAATGTTTCAACCGCTGTAAATGTGAAGGAACTGTCAGAGAACTGTCAGAAATAGCGGAGCTCTCTGCAGGGACACTTTTTGCCGGCTGTAGAAGGGATGAAAATCGGCCGATCGGGAAAAATTTGATTCGTGCATCCGAAGTTTGCTAATTTTCGGATTCGGTGCGAATCGAATTTTTCCTAATATTCGAAACTAATTCCACTTCGCCAAGTTCGATTCGCTCATCTCTACTCTCAGTGGCTTACAGCTCTTAAATCTATTTACTGTACAATACGCTGTGTTAATCATTGGGATTTTGTACAAAAGATTGCATTATAATGGTAGCATACTCTCTATCATGTGGTCCAGTTCTCTCCCTCTTATTTTTCTCTATGATGGTGGGGTTGTGGCCAGAATGGGAATCTAATGCTTATTCTACAGTCCTGTAAAAGTTTGAGTAGTTTTTGTCAGAACATTTTCCAAATTATATCTGAGGTAATTAGAATTCTAATATCCTCCATACCATCATTAGGATTTCTGATGTTTTGATTAACATCCATATGGTTGCTGCACATTTTTTACCAGTAGCAAGAATTGTCATAACTAGACATTGGAAGCAACAAATGGCACCTAATCAGTCTGAAATGATTATCTTAATTAAATCGTATTACTTGCATGAAAGGATGCTAGCTTTTGGGAATGAAATGTTTCTTGCTTTTGAAACTATGTGGAATCCCTGGTCTGACTGGATAGACAATTGACTTCTCTAGTTTGTTTGTACCATTATATTATTGACTTCCTGAATCATTTCCTAGAGTACTACAGTTCCTGCTTCTGCTTTTCTCTTATTCGATTTGTGTTACTGTTATTCTTATATTTTACACTTACCTGCTGCCTCTGGCAGTTGCTCTTTGTACATTCCACTGTACTCCAATAACATCTTATTGAAACAAACAAAGAAAAGTGAAAAAAACTGTAGCTATAGGTTGGCAAGTCTGTAAGATAAAGTAGGGACTGACCAGAGTTGGATGACTCTGGTGCAGTTGGCCACCTTGAACATGTATTGGAATATAAGCTAACTAAATAACTATCACATTTTATTAGTAAGAGTTTGCTATAGCTAAGGGTTAAGTGGCAACGACCACTTAGTATCTCATGTGTTGTAAGTATGAGACTATTTAGAACCTGAAACCTGCATTTATACTACATGGTTAACATGTTGGTAACTTAACTCCTTCATGTCTGAAGGTTAAAACAAACCCTAATGTCCAGACCCAATTTGGCAACTTTGGCATGTGTTAGTAACACTGTACATATCATTGTTTGTTTGTTTTTTCAGGACAAATTTGACTTTCATTTGGTGTAAATGGTAATAGATATCTCATGATTTTCTTTTTATCATCAAAATTGCCCAAAATAGTAAAAAAAAAAAAAAATCATTTTTAAGTGTATCTGTATATTTCTTGCTACTACCAAAATCTACTACCAAAGAAGAACCTAAAATAAATTCTCCTGCTTCTGATGATTGCAGAGATCCCCATGTTATTTGTTGTTTGTACCCGTAGTAGGGCCCAGAAATTATAGTACGTATTCTACTTGTTTTTATCCTGCCTAAAACACACTTACACTGACAATAACTGACACTGATATGAATTTTAAAAGTGCATTTTTAAAAAAATCCTACCTAAAATATGTTGACCTTGATCTTTGACCTCAACCATTGGCCCTGACTTTGAACCTAACACTAACCCTGACACTGACCTAGATTAAACCTTGATTTAGCTATTTTTCTCAATTTTTTAAACACACTTTTTTTTGTTTATATCTTTCTTTTCTGCATACAAACCAATAAGCTTTCAGTTACTTTGAAGTTAGCAGCTGATTTGCTATCATGCAAAGCTACACCAGATTTTGCAATTTCCAGTTTTAGTAAATCAACCCCAATGTATCTTGGAGAGAAAAGAAAACACATTTGGTGAGTTGCACAGTGACTGATCACTGTGATCGCCAGAGGCTATCACCACAATCAGATGACTGGGAAACGGGAGTCCAGAGTCCCAATTGTTAGTGACCTGGGGCTCCCTGTGAGAGCCAAGTCTCTGTGCTGGGAGTGCGCTATGCAATGTGCTCCCACCACTAACACAGGAACACATACTGTACAGTATATGCGTCACCCAGGTTTAAAGCCCACTTCCTGGACATCGCATACACACTATATTGCCAAAAGTAATGGGACACCTCTCCAAATCATTAGATAATCATTGGATTCAGGTGTTCCAATCACCTCCATGGCCACAGGTGTATAAAATCAAGCACCTAGGCATGCATACTGCTTCTACAAACATTTGCAAAAGAATGGATCACTCTCAGGAGCTTAGTGATTTTAAGCGGGGTACCGTGATAGGTTGCCACCTGTGCAATAAGTCCATCCCTGAAATTTTCTTGCTACTAAATATTCCACAGTCAAATGTTAGTTGTATTATAACAAAGTGGAAGCAACTGGGAACAACAGCAACTCATCCATGAAGTGGTAGGCCACGTAAAATGACAGAACGGGGTCAGCGCATGCAGAAGTCACATACAGTGCATAAAGTGTGCAGAAGTCACCAACTGCAGAGTTAATAGCTAAAGACCTCCAAACTTAGCGTGGCCTTCAAAATTAGCACAACAGTGCATAGAGAGCTTCATGGAATGGGTTTCCATGGCTGAGGAGCTTCATCCAAACCTTACATCACCATGTGTAATGCAAAGTGTTGGATGCAGTGTTGTAAAGTACACCGCCACTGGACTCTAGAGCAGTGGAGCCGTGCTCTCTGGAGTGATGAATCACACTTCTCAGTCTGAAAATTTGACATGTCTGGGTTTGGGGGTTGTCAAGAGAACGGTACTTGCCTGACTGCATTGTGCCTAGTGGAAAGTTTGGTGGAGGGGGATTATGGTGTGTGGTTGTTTTTTTAGGGGTTGGGCTTGACCTCTTAGTTCCAGTAAAGGGAACTCTTTAGGTGTCCGCATACCAAGACATTTTGCACAATTTCATGCTCCCAACTTTGTGGGAACAGTTTAGGGATGGCACCCTCCTGTTCTAACATGACTGCGTACCAGTGCACAAAGCAAGGTCCATAAAGACATGAGTGAGTTTGAGGTGAAGGAACTTGACTGGCCTACACAGAGGCCTGACCTCAACCCAGTAGAACACCTTTGGGATGAATTAGAGCAGAGACTCAATATTCAATAACGAAGCTTGGCCTTCTCATCTGACATCAGTGCCTCACCTAAGAAATGCGCTTCTGGAAGAATGGTCAAACATTCCCATAGACACACTCCTAAACCTTGTGGACAGCCTTCCCAGAAGTGTTGAAGCTGTTATAGCTGCAAAGAGTGGGTCAACTCAATATTGAACCCTACAGACTAAGACTGGGATGCTATTAAAGTTCATGTCTGTGTAAAGGCAGGCGTCCCAATACCTTTGGCAATATAGTGTGTGTGTGTTTATATATATATATATATATATATATATATATAATTTACACACACACAGTATATTCAGTAAATAAAAACTAAACCTGCCTTAAACATCCATTTAAAGACTTCAAAACGGCATACAAATTTGGAATAGAATTTACTCCAGACCATTAAACTTAAACTACATTAAAGTTTTACATTTTTTATCATATCCTTTGGTTTTGTCTTTTGCTTTTTTTGGTCCTCTATTAGACAACTGTTATGTTTTTATTTGAGTGAATCTAGTGGTTTTAATTCTAAAATGTTAAATCATACAGCATTTTTATACTTTTGGGATCAGAGATACATGCTGTAGGCTTTGTTTGCCAGTTTATTAATAATAACTGACAGAACATTTAAAATGCACTGCAATAAATTTATTCTCTTTGGCACTGAATATTTTTACTCCTACTAGGTTTTGCCAAGGGGGAAACACTTTCAAAATATTTGTTTTGTTCTGATGTATGAATTGAAATGATATCTTTCATGATAATACTTTATAGTCTATATTTTAACGCTAAACTCCAGCCTTACCTTCAGTCTTGCACAGTTCTACAGGCTTCTCTTATGTACTGAAATTGTTTACTTATTTCACTGCACACTGTGAGCTAGAGTAAGTCAGATAGAGCCCATCCAATTTCCTGGCTGGAGGATGTCCAAGCCTAAGCAGTTTTACTGTCCCTGGCCCGCCTCCTTCATTCATTGGATTTTCGTTCTTCCAATAACAGGACATCACATATGGGCATTACTTAAGATCCAGCCCACTGCTCATTCCAGAGCTGAAAGCTCTTGATAGGAGTACTAGGGCAAGGTTCTGTGATATTTTCAGTTAGTTATTTAACCACTAGAACTCCTGAATGTTTTACCTCCTTCATGACTAGGCCATTTTTTGCTACTTTTTTGGTAATTGAGCGGTCATGCAATGCTGCACCCAAATAAAATTTGTTGGTATTTGCTCACCACTGTCTTTTTATTTTTTAGGTTTTTATAAACAAAAATAGACAGAAAAAATAAGAAAAAGAAAATATTTTTTACTTTCCACTATAAAAAATATCCAATAAGAAAAAAAAATCTTCATTAATTCATGCCAATAAGAGTATATTTGATTGCTTTGTATGAAAGTTATAACGTCTACCAACTATGGTATACTGTATATACTGGCATTTTTTTTATACTAGTAATGGTGGTAGTGGGGACTGTGATGTGTGGGCAATCTGACACTAACACTGGGTGGGAACTGACACTGACGTCACCAGTGACACTAATACAGTGATCAGTGTTAATATTATACACTGTCACTGTACTAATGACACTGGCTGGGAAGGGGTTACAATTTTGGGATAATAAAGGGGTTAAGTGTATGCCTAACAAATGTTAATGTGTGTAAAGTGTGCTGCTTTTTGCTAAAAATCTGTTTGCTCCTTTTCTCTGTAGTGCAGGGAGAAGAAACAAAGAGATCATTCCCTTTGTACAGAGCTATGTGTTGTTTGTCAACATAGAACTCTGGGCTGTGATTGGACATAGTTGATCAGCAGGTCTTGGCCATGAAACATGGCTTGGACTTGCTAACAAAATCCCGCTATGTCTGTGTGCACACACACCCTGAACCCCGAAACAAGCAGCAACCTACATGTACACAGTACAATATGGGCAGGTGGTCCTACATTGTATAAGCAACCTTATGGCCTCTCCCACCTGCCATGATCTATCCTCACTTTATAAAGAAACCCAGTAATGATGTCGCTGGGTTTAAAATAAGCTGTTATGAAAATGTAAAGGATTTATTAGCACATTGATGAGTGGGGAGGAATGCACCAGGGAAGGCAAAGCAGATACAGTTTCAGCTTTAATTGTATGGTTCTTATACAAGCACAAGCAGACTTCATGAAATTTTCTATTGCTATGCAACCTTTCTGACTTTGGCTTGTTATCAGTTAATTAATGCAGGATTAATATTCCATTTGCGATGCTGTAATTTTAGATCAGATGAGCTACACAGCAGTAAATTATATCATGAAATATGTATGAGAACAGTATAGATCTCAATTTTTTATTTAGTTGATCTGATGCTTATTCACACTGATAGTCTTAAACGGAAATGCAATTTGGAAATTAAATTAATAAAACATAAGTAAAATATAATTATTTCATCTGTTTATCTTACAGATACATGAGGGTTTGTGTACAGAAAGTGATCTAACCAGAAAAAAGTTTTTTTTTTTCTATAGGAAATAATCATCTTCCAAATGTAATGTCTAGGGAAGAAAATTAAAGAAAATGATACAAGAATTTCACCATGAAAGCTTGCTAAGTAATACATTCAAGCCAGGCCTGGACTGTGACAAAAAATAGGCCTGAGCAGCCAATTTTTCAAGACGGGGGGTGGGTGCAAGGGAGTTTGCGGGGCAGTTGGTGATGGAATATTCATAGAGTCAGTCCTCCACATTGTAATGTAAAGGAGCTCTTTGATATAAAGGGGACTGCACTGTAAAGGGGTACTGTATTGATTACAGTGTCCCTTTACAGCGCAGTCCCCTTTATATCATAGTGCCTCTTTACATTACAGTGTCCCTAGAGATCTAATTACCGTGCCCCCTGTATATATTCAAAGAGATGGTTCAATCCAGCAAAGAGACATCCCAATCCAAAAAACAGACATCCCCATATAGCAAAGAGACAACCCAATCCAGCAAACAGACATCCCCATATAGCAAAGAGACATCCCAAACAGCAAACAGACAGCCCATCCAGCAAAAGAGACAGCTCAACCAGCAAAGTGACATCCTGCCCAGCAAAGACACAGCTCGTACAGCAAAGACACAGCCCGTCCAGTAGAGAGACAACCTGTCTAGCAAAGAGCCCATCCAGCAAAGACACAGCTCAACCAGAAAAGGGACAGCTCATCCAGCAAAGAGACAGCTCAACCAGTAAAGAGACAGCTCAACCAGTAAAGAGACAGCCCATCCAATAAAGAGACAGCCCATCCAGCAAAGAGACATCCTGTTCAGCAAAGAAACATCCTGCCCAGCAAAGAGACAGCCCGTCCAGCTAAGAGACAGCCCGTCCAGCTAACAGACAGCCCGTCCAGCAAAGAGATAACAGTTCAGCAAAGATACATTGTGTCCATCCAGCAAAGTGACAGACCATCCAGCAAAGAGACAGCCTGTTAAGCAAAGAGACATCCTGCCCAGCAAAGAGACAGCTCATGCAGCAAAGAGACAGCTCACCCAGCAAAAAGACAGCCCAATCCACCGCCGAGCTGTAACGATGTAAATATGTCGGTGGGTGAAGGAGAGAGTGCTGCACACAGTTATTGTCCCTTCAGTGCGGCTGTGTGCAGCAGCCGGCCGGGGAGGTGTCTGTGTGTCCTTGGTGGCTCCTTCCTTCCTGTTGCTGGAGCCATCACTGACACTCCTCCTGTCAGCCCTGCTTTGGGCATAGCTGCACAGTGAGAGGTGAGCGGCAGCTGCAGTCTGTGTTAGCCCTGTCTAGGCTGCAGTTGCTGTTTATATCTAGCCCAGTCATCAACAAGCATTTATGCAAGGGCAAATTAGTACATTTTACATTTTATGGTAGTTCTGTTAGAATTGAAAGAGTGGTCCTATCTTATCCTATTTCATTGTGTACAGATATATATCAGTATATCTGATGAGAAGCAAGAGTAGCTGTCATTTTATACTAATTAGAATGGAGTAGCCTACTGGGGCTTACTAGGATATGAAAGGGTTATTTGAGTATGTTGAGTACTTTGGAGTTGTCCCTGATGAAAAGGTATACTCTTGAAATGTGTAAGTCATTGTGCATGCTCCGGACGAAGCCTATACTCTCGCTGTGCAGGTTCAGCAGCTGGATATCTACTGTATGCCTGTTGATTTGGGAAACCTTCAACTTTATGCATTTTATGTTACCTGCACTTATATGAAGTACCTTTTGTAAGCATAAGATCTAATTTTTAATAAAACCTAAATTAAGGATTTTACATGATGCCCGTATGCTCTGTTTGTTTTGGAGTACTCACGTTATTTAACCATTTAACATCCGTCCTATAGCAGTTCAACTGCTACTGGGTGGCATCCTATGCAAAATCACACACACACACATATATATATATATATATATATATATATATATATATGTGTGTGTGTGTGTGTGTGTGTGTGTGTGTGATTTTGCACTTGTGAACTGTCACAGCATGTTTACATAGGCAGAGCTGTGTTGTGAT